ATGCGAGGAGAAACCCCCCACGTAGTATAATAACTCTAAACGTCTGAGCGACCGAGGATTAGACGGTGATCCGGGATCTGTCTCAGTCGATATTGTACTTCAATGGTGTAAATTCCTAAACAAATCTGCAGATAATCAAATTATGTTCAACCAATTGACACTCAGTGAACTTGTGGCTTCTACCGGGGGCCCCTCTGAGGGTCTGGGGCCCCGGGGGCAGCTGACTGCTCTGATGTGTGTTGGTTTACCCGGACTGGTTCTGGGGTTTGAGACGCTCCAAGTCTCTGGTACACAACGTATTTCACAGACAAGAACACAAAGAATCAGGACTCCAGGTCAAGGTGCGGCCAAAGGCCACCAAACAACGTCCAGCACATCAAAACATTTAGTTGTTGTTTTGGTTTCAGCGTTGTGATTGTAAATGTTTCTTCCAGACGTAGTTTCTTGCATTTAGTATCACCTCCTTGTCCAAGTTCAGTTCCAAATAACAACCAAACCCAGGACGAAGGTAACGATATGTTTCGCTAACGAAGAAGGGCCGTTTAAATGTTGCGTCTAAAAAATGAGAACGATACCTGCCACGCTGTGATTGACCTTTGCTGTTCGCCATTGATTGTTGTGAACGTTGCCGTCGCTACCGCATTGCATTGTGGGGTATTTTTAATGCTAGTGCACACTGTAATATTCTCACATCCTGTTTTAGCCACAATGAACTTCAGGTTTTCAGAATTGTGTGCAACATATTTGTGTGTATTCAACGGAGGAAAAACTGTGATACTGTTTTTTGGTTGTTGTTTTTTTTTGCAGGAATGTCACCACAAGTCGTAATACTTTAAATACATAAATACTGCAATACTTTCATCGGTGGGCCACTTTAAAATAAAAGCTTGTAAAATGTTCCAGTGTGGATGAACCACACACTCAAAACACGGTGAGACAATGTGTCGGGAGGCAGAGTTTGGTTCTGATGAAGGCTCACTCAGACACCCGGATTAGTATTTTTATAATAAATTAAAACAATCATGAACTCTCTGAGATTATGGCGGTAAAAAAGAAGAAAGAAAAAGGAAGCAACACTTGGAAAAAAAAAAAAACCTGAAGTGAAACTCTACACTGAGTCGCTCCACACGAGTCCAGAATCCAGACTCCGGGAGCCGCTGTTTGCAGCGCGCCGACGGAGCCCCGGGTTTGAATTGACGGACGTCCGCAAGCAGCCAATCAGCGACGAAGCCTCGTTTATTCCACTCGGGTTGACCAATCAGAGTCTGAGTACGTCACCGGAGCAGAATGTGACTGTGGGCTTCCCATCCCCCCCTCCACCTCCTCCTTCTCCTATCTCCCCCATCACGAGCGAGCAATGGCGGCTGCCTTTTTTTGTGTGTGCCGCTTTTGTCCTTCTCATGTTCAGCTTGTAAAAGCCACGTTTTTACAAAACTCGGTAAGGAAAAAACAAACAAAACCAATACGTGTGTTGTGTCAGTTCATGAGCACTTATTTTATTTTTATTTCCACCGCACTTCGTCGTCTCATCGCACGTTCTTGTTATGTCGCACTTCTTCTTCTCCCTCTAACAATGGCGGGGGAGGAAATGAGGCCACGAGCACTAAACTAAACCCCGCTCCCTTTGCACACACTTCACCACTCGTCTCGAAGCGTTTCGATAAAACAAAGATTGTGTGTTTTTTGTATCTGTGTATCGACCTTGACGCACGAATTAATAGGTTATGTAAAAAAAAAGAGGCGTCAAGTGCGCAGATAGATGAGTGAGGGAGATTCAAACATGGATGCCGGGGAAAGGGGGCGGGGCCTACGAGCGCAGGAGCTTTGATCAGACATGGCGGCGTTTCTTTACCCCGTTTTAAACGTGATTGATACGTGTGTTCATGGGGGCGACTTTAGAGGTGATGGTAGCGTTGTAAAAAATACTTTAATCCACTAAACACGGTCCGTGTCGTCCATGTTTCATTCCCCCTCCTCTGAATACTCTGCTCACGGAAGGCGGGAGAAACGGTCCGTAGTCGCTGCGCGACTCGACCAGATGAACATCAATCAATCAAACTGTGACAGTTAACGTCAACCGAGAGCCGCCTCTTCGATACAACCGAAAGCCGCCTCTTCGATACAACCGAGAGCGTAGCTCAGTGTGAACTTAAGGTTTCACGGTGTTTTAAAAACAGGGAATTTTAACGGTTTAATCGATGTGTTTTTGTTGCTTTTATTGTTGTTTTAGTAGAGAAAGGACAGTTGCAGAGGCTGACGGGAGTTAAGAGGGGGAAAGGGGGCGTGGTCTGTCTTGTTTTTTTTTAATCCATTGTTCCACTCCAACGCGCTGAGGAGAACACCTCTGTGGAGCCGTCAGCCAATCAGCTGCCGCCGTCCTCCCGCCTTAGCTCCGCCCACCAGCCTATATTAAAGGCTCGGCCGTCAGCAGCGCTGGCCACTGGCACAATATAACACTGATTGATCCACCAAAAACACACCGAGGAGAGGATTTACTTTCTTCAACCCTTTCATTTTCAAGCCGTCCTTTATTTTATTGAACTAAAAACAAACAAACAAACAATGGCAGACACAAAAGTTGACTCCGGCTCGGACCTCACTGCCAAGGTAAGGACCCAGAATAAAGCTGGAGGGTTTTTCGTTTCTCCAGAGCTCTATCATAGATTCATTTATTTTTTTCCGTCGTCGCTTCGCGCGCATTCGCACTCTGGAGAAGTGGGATAGCCTTGTGGGACACGCTGGAGGAAGGAGGAAGGAGAGGAGGAGAAAGGAGCCGGTGTTTGGGCTCCTCTTGATGGGAAAGCGTCCCCCGGTTGGCGAGCAGAGGGGGGGTCTCTCCGGTACATGTGAAATCGGTTGTGCGTTTTTACACGGAGCTCCGTGTCTCCTCATTGTGTGTCCGGAGCGGAACGGAACGGTCGTTGCGCGGGGTTCTTTGTTTATACAAGACGGGGCTCGGGTCTCCTCGCACAGAGACACTTAACCCGCTTCTTCTTCTTCTCTTTATTGTTTTAATATGCATTTATCTCTTTAACCTCCGCTGCTGACGCGCCTATTGGTTCCACGTCTTGCAGGCTGATTGATGCCCAATATTCCGTGTTGTTGTTTATTATTATTAATGAAGAGTGACGAGCAGCGCAGTGGTCGTTCTGAAGGCTCCAGCTGGGTCTGTAGTGCGAAGTTGGTCCGTTTGAATGGAGGACGGAGCGGAGAGGCGGTGCGTAATTCTCACCAATGTCAAACTTCCGGAGCTCTCTCCACTTCCTGCGTTTTACAAGATTCTCACTTTGTTGTTTTTTACAAAAAGGGCCCCGGTAGACCTGTCCTTACCGTGTGACCCGGTTTGTTTACCGACTCGGTAAAAGCTGCTGCTGCTGCAGCCGGTTGAACGCGCTCCGCTCCTTCAGCCTCCAGAGGAACCGGAGAGCGTAACGTTACGCACGGAGAGCAGCGGGCTTCCGCTTCTTCTTCAGTATTTTATTTTTTAGCATGTTTTGCAGAGCGCGTCGATGTCTCTCAGGGGGAAGTTTCTCTTTCTTTTTTCCTGTAATGCAGCCTGTCTCTGTGTGTGTGTGTGTGTGTGTGTGTGTGCGTGTGTGTGTGTGTGTGTCTCTCTCTCTCTCTCTGTGTGTGTGTGTCTCTCTCTCTCTCTCTCTCTCTCTCTCTCTCTCTCTCTCTCTCTCTCTCTCTCTCTCTCTCTGTGTGTGTGTGTGTGTGTGTGTGTGTGTGTGTGTGTGTGTGTGTGTGTGTGTGTGTGTGTGTGTGTGTGTGTGTGTGTGTGTGTGTGTGTGTGGCCGGGCTGTGGAGGTGTGTGTGATGTGACGGTGCTTTGGTTTCCCCTCTTTGTGTGTGTGCGTTATCGTCATTCGGGGTTTTTTCTCGATCTGACTTTATATCTTTGTGCGTAAATGTGAACATCTCCAGTCGGGCTTTGGATCACATCGGGTAAAACTTTAATTGGGGTAGAGAGAGAGGGGGGGGGGGGTCTCCGGGTCTCCGCAGCAGAGAATAGGATCCAGCTCTTTAATAATAAGAGCAGCATCGAGCTGCATAATTATGAGTGATTAGAACAAACGAACATATGGAGAGCACGCGGAGAGGGGGGACGTTAAGTTTCCCGGTATGAACCAACGCGGATCGTCCTGAAGCTGCGCGCTCAGACACTATTTATAGTTGTGGAGCATTTCTCTTTTTACGCACAAGCGCCTTTTTACGCGCAGGATCCGGTGAGCAGAACGCGCCTCCGAGTTCCGTGTCCGGTCTTCTCCTGAACAGAGGGAGCCGCTTGATGCTCCTTAAACGGCTTAATGGATTTTAAGCAATACGATTATGTTGAGCAATTAATCAATAACAGTGTATGTGCGTGTGCGCGCGCAGCGGGGATAATAGGCTGTGAACGGGGCGATGTGGACAAAACGAGGAGACGGAGCGCTATTAATAGGCTCGGCGGGCGGTTTTCCGGTCTAAGTAGGTCGCCCAAAAAAAAAAAAAAAAAAAAGTGTTTTAGTCTGTGTGTGTGTGTGTGTGTGTGTGTGTGTGTGGTGGTGGTGGTGGTGGGGGGCTTCGAGCTCCGGTCCCGGTGCCTCATTCTCGCTTCTCTCGCCTGCCATGTGTCGTCGTCTATTGTCCTCCGTTACAACGAGCGGCCAACAGGCAGCAGCGTGCACCGCGCGCGCCGCCTCCTCTTCCCCCTCCTCCATCTCCCCCCTCCCCCTCCATCACCTCCCTCCCCCTCCTCCTCCCATTCTTTGCTATTGCGCCCTCCTGTGTTATTTTAAATGGAGCGGTGCATCCTGGGTTTTGCAGTGCCTCTCCCGGGCGTGTCTCGTGACATATGACGGAGACGGCAGCCCGCGGAAGACTACAATACCCAGAGTGCCCCGGGGGGGCACACGTCAAAAGTATCAGATTACAACACATTAGAGGGGATGAAGCATGTGTGTGTGGGGGGGGGTGTTTTAAATAGGAAGGCTTCATTCTGACAAGGAGAGGGTTGGAAACTGTGCAGCTCCCAGCATGCACTGGGGCTTATAGGGCAGGTAGTAAGTCACAGTAATACTATTTAATTTAAGGTTTAAATATATGAACTGATATTTCTGTTGTGTCCGTCAGGAACTGAAAGAGAAGAAGCTGGTGGAGGAGAAGGAGAACGGCAAAGATACCGCCACCAACGGGAAGGTAACCTCCTCCTTCTTCTTCTGTGGTGCTCCTCATGCAGCACACTTCTTCATCACTTCTGAAGCTCCAACACAACTTCTGACTGAAAGTCTCTTTTTAAAAACGTATTTCTAGGAGACTGAGAACGGGGAGCCCGAGGTAGATGATGATGAAGATGATGAGGAAGTGGACGAGGAGGACGAGGAAGATGATGTAGAAGGTAGCTATTAAAAAATATACAAATATTTTCATGTCTTAAAAGTTTCGTGAGTCTCATTCTTCTTTTTCTTCTTCTTCTTCTTCTTTCAGGTGAGGAGGAAGACGACGATGACGATGATGAGATCGAGGGCGGCACAAAACGGGCAGCTGAGGATGACGAGGACGACGAAGAGGTGAACTTCTTTACCGCCGAGAATCCGAACCAATGAGGTCACGACATCGCCATTCAACTTACTCACCTTCTTCTTCTTCTTCTTCTTTCAGGACGACGTCGAAACCAAGAAGCAGAAAACCGATGATGATGATTGATGCGTTTCCCCCCTGACCCCCCCCATCCTGCTGAACTACTTTCTGGTTCTCCACCTGTGAAGGTTTTCATGTGTCCCGGGTGGAGGAGCTGGAGGACTGATTTAAAAGGAGAAAAAAAAAAAATAATAATAATTAAAAAAAATGTAAGAAAATCCAACATGGTCGTTAGTAGAGTTCAACAAACACTCGATCTCCCTCAAAACAGCAAAAACTAATTTTCTAGAGGAACACGTCGACGCAGAAATCCGGCTTTTCTTCAACAACAACAACAACAAAGGAGAATCTGTTTGTATTTTTATTTACATTTTATATTTTTGTACATATTGTTAGGAGGGGTCCGTTTCTCTCTCGGCAGCGATCTCGTCAGACCAAATCGGTGCTTCTTTAATGAGAGATTTTACTTGGTTGACCATGTTAACGATATCTCGACAGAAACTAGCAAATCAAACAAAACACAGTTTTCAAACAAAAGAAACATGAAAGTAAAAAGCTGTTAAAGCCGTTGAACTCAGAGCATTCCAGTAAGTTTAATGTATGTACGTTAGCTGTACCATAACTAGTTTGTTTGTATGGGAGGGCCAAAGAAAAGAGCCTCTTTTCTCTTTGCTTTTTCTTTTCTTCTTTCTTTCACGACAGCCTGTTTTCATGTATGTGCGAAGTTTGATGTTTGACAATAAACCAGACTTTTATTTTGTGAGTTGTACTTTGTATCTCTGCTTGTCTTTCTTCCTGTCTGGAGACGCTCGGGTGAAGGTGAGCGTGTTTTAAAGACGTCACCGGGCTGCAGCTTTACCTGCGCTACATTGTTATACTACTTTATTCTTCTATTATTACTGCATTTAATCACAGCTACAGTTTCTGGTTGCTTTGTATATAAAACACACACATATCTATATATACTGTATATTATAAATGAAACCTGGGGGTCGGGGCCCAACAAGAGGTCGCAGTGTGAGCAGGTAAGCGTGGCGCCATTTGTTTCTTTAGACATTTAAATGACCAGATACAGTCGCTTTATTTTGAAGGGCAACATGCTAAAAAAATAACTGGATTAAAATATCAAACATAAAGCAGTTACAATATTAAAATAATAAATGTGTAATAACGCTGTCCTGCTGCAGAATGTTTTAATGAGTATTTGCATGTTTTTATTAACTTTAGCAGCAGTAATAGAGTCAGTATATAACATGAGAATAATGTACATGAAGTTGTTCAAATGGATCCCCAGTATTAAAAACACAGTTATACATTAATATAGCAGTATAAATACACAATAAATACATCTCCCTGCACGGTTTAATTTTGCATGAAGAGTACTTATATTTTCTCGGTACATTTATCTGATAATACTTTACTACTTTTACTGAATTAGGATTTGTTTAGTTTGTAGTATTTTTAATTCTATTGATACTTTTAATAAAGTAGAACGCAGTACTTTTTCCACCACTGGTAGTATTATTGGCTGCAACCTAGTTTTAGTGAAGTATTGGATTGTAATAACTACATTTACTCAAATACTCTAGTACACATTTTAGGTGCTTCACTAAAAGAGGGTTCTGAATGCAGGACTTGTACTTGTAATGGAGTAGTATTATAGTGTTGTACATGTACTTTTACTGCAGTAAAGGAACGGTTGCTCAGCAGCACGTTTTCCTCTCAGCACAGTTAAAGTGTGAACAGTCGACTAATAAAGTTTGTTAGAGTTTAAACACTGAGGAGTGAAAAGAGATGTAAAGAAGACAAAGAGCGCAATAACAGACGAGTGGAAGAAAATATTTGTGTCTGTTTCGTTGGTGTTGAATATTTATTTTGATGTTGATGTATTAAATCAGACGACAGCAGTAGAAGCAGCAGGTGTAACACCTCCGGGCCCAGTTGTCTCACAGGTCAGTGTCACAGCGGTGTTTAACTCTCACTCTGCTGCAAGGGCGTAGGTTTGGTCTCAGCATTGGTAGGGACACTGCCAGTCGTCGTCGACCCCCCCCCCCGGCATCTAAAAAAGTGTTCGTTGATAATGTCAGGGGCGTTTCTAGGATTCAAAGAAAGGGGGGGCTTAGCCCCAAGGAGAGTGGCATGTTTGGCAATTGTTTTTGGGGCCCATTTGGGGCCGTGGATATCCATTGTTTCAGACAGTTCATAGATTGGTTCAATCAGAGAGTGTGTGATTTTGCTCTGTAGTTTTGCTTGCATTCAGTATATGATAACACAAGACACAGAATTTCAGGGTCATAGTGAAATTTGACAACACAAATATGAACTTTTCTCAAATAAAGAGAGAAATAATTTTCCTGCTTGTAAAGGAAAGACGGATAAACTAGCTTTCATATCCGCGTCACTCCCAAATCCTGATTCTTAAAGGGACCGCACACAATGGATGGAGAACGGACCTGACAGTGTCAACTTTATATCGTTAAGTATGATGATAGGCTGTTGGATTGTAATTTGAAGGGTGAGAAAACATACAAACCAGAACGCACGCACATATGTAGCATGTTAGAGTTATAAATAAGTTGTCCATGTGAGAAACAATAGTTTAATTTAATGACATCACCAAAATAAAAATATTATTATTTTTTTGTTTGTTTTTAAAGCCAATAATGCCAAATTATTTGGGGGGGGCTGAAGAACATTTGGGGGGGGGCTTCAGCCCCCCTAAAATAGGTCTAACGACGCCCCTGGTTGATATTATGTTGAACAGGCAAACTTTATTAAAATATATTAACATTTGTGTAACTTGGAACTGATTTAAACATAATAACAGTAACAAAACCTTAGTTTAAATACAAAACAGTATTCTGCACCAAATAAATAATAATAATAATAAATAATTAAATAAATGAATAAAAAACGTTCTGCTAAAATGCCAATATACAGTAACATCAGTGGTGGGCTGTCAGGGCCTGCAAGGCCTTCTCTGCTGGCCTAAACAGAATCACAAAGTTATATCTATTTTATAATTTAATAATTTTTCTTAAATACACTACATGTATTATAATTTATAAACATATTTTCCCCATTATCTTATGTTCTCATTGCACAGCTCCTGTCTTCCTCAGTTGCTCTGCTTCCAGTGCAGCTTGTTTTAAGTAGAGCTTTTATCCAATCAGATCTCACCTCTGTGTCTCTAGGTAAGAACAGAGGCAGAGGCCTGCAGACTCACAAGTGAATCCATGTGAGGTTTAAGTGAATGGGGACGATATTGTTGATTGTCATAGTGTTCAACCAATCAGATCTTTAGTTTGACATGTTGGGCGTATTCTTTGACTATCAGAGCCTGCGCGCTGGCCTATAATGACGTCAGCATTACATGCCGCTCAGTGTCCATGTGTAGCTCTGCCGCGAAACTTCACAGCAGAGGCATGTCGGGTAGTGAATCACATCACGTGATGCAGCTCAGCCAATCAAATATGGGCATTCTGACCCGAGTAACATGTACCACACACCATGACACAGGGGGCTGAGACGAGGAATGACATTGCAGAGCAGTACGTTCAACATTGAGGTTGTGAAAGTAAAATCCTATAATAATATCTTTAGGTTGCAGCTTGTCATTAAGGAATGATGGCGGATCCCACAGCCAGACCAGCTGAGAACATTATATTGTCCTGAATTAAGGCTTTTGCATTTCTAGCATTATTCAAACACTCGTCAGAGACGTACATAGTTACAGCCTTAAAAATGAATAATAGCTGTGGTGCCATCATGTGGTTATAAGGTGGTATTTCAGCTGCAGGACAGCAGTGAAGGCCCAGGTATAAAATGCAGGGCCCGCCACTGAGTAACAGTATATTCTATATCCAAAATATATACAAAAAACTTTTCCCAGTTGTGCAGACAAAAAAAGATAAAAAAATTAAAATAAATCTATTCTGCAGCACTTAATAGGCTACAAATAAAGTGCTTTCCTCCTTTATGCAATTATTAGTAGTGCTGGGCAACGATTACAATTTTTAATCGCATGGATTTTTTGTGATTAATCTCATTGTTATGGTAAAGTTCAATAATGAATTATAAAGTAGTGTATTGTGCACTTTTATTTTGAAAGTGCTGCCCTATGAACTAAAGGTGAATAACATTGTGTGTAAACACTTTAAACACATCAGGTTGTTGTTAGCAGCAGTGTTCTCTTGCTCTGCTGCAGCTTTAAGACCTCAAAACCTCAAATCTGTCTCACCTCAGCAGGGAGAGCAGCGCCCACCCCCCCTCCTGCAGCTCGCACATGGTTCATCCCAAACCAGAGGACCGGAGCTCATGGAGCGGTCCATTACCTCAGGACGGGGGGGGGGGGGGGGTTATATCAAAGGAAGCAAAATGAAGCAAATTAGGCTGGTTCCTCATTACCTGCACCTCAAATCAAACGCTGCAGACAGGTGCAGGAGAATCAGGACAGAGCAAAGAGAGTTCGCTCTTGCGGCGTGAAGCGACTCCGTCATCACAAGGAGGGCTGTCTCTGTCCAGTGACCCACCTTGAACCCGGACTGGTGGGGGTCCAAGAGGCTGTTCTGATGGAGATATAAGACAGTAGATTAGAAAGAGTAGAAGAGAAACCGGTCTGAAGTTCTTGACATCAGAGGGGTCAAGTGATGGTTTTAAGGGGGGGGACTACGATAGTTGCAAAAAAAGTACAATATTTACCTCTGAGATTTTCTGACGGGTATGAAAGGTGCTTTATGAATGAAGTTTGATTGATTGATTGTAATATAAAACTGTCTTATGCTGCGTTCACACCAAATGCGGCGCGAATTATTCGTGCGAGTAGATTACATACAAAGTCTATGCACAGATGCGATGAGACTGGCGCGTCGCGAATTTGCGAATTCGCGGCGCGATTAATGCAAATCCGCGTCAAATGCCAAATCGCCCCAAACGCGTGAGTTGAAATTTTTCAACTTCGGCAAAATATTCGTGTTCCGCCCCGGCGCGATAGCCTATCAGCGTTGAGTTGCTTCCCCTGTCATCACTAGGGATGAGTATCTTTTGGGTTTTTTCCGATACCGGTGCTAAAACGATACTTTTAAAACGATACCGGTGCCTAAACGGTGCCTGAACCGATACTTTTTTCTTCAAATTGAACAATATATTAACTGTTTAAAGTATGCTACAAATATAAATAAATACAAAACACTTGGCTTCAAACTACAGCTTCAAACTTTTTAACTTCAAACTATGAACAATATATTAACTGTTAACAGTTTACAGTATACTTAAATAAATATAAATAAATACAAAACACACACACACTGTACACACACTACAGCTTCAAACTTCAGCAATTCTTTTGCAGAAATATGAGCATATTTGCCTTCTCTGGCAAAATACGACCTCTCCTGACTAATTTAATTTAATTTAATTTTACCAGTTGGTGGCGCTAATGCGCCAATTCATCGTTTGCCAACCGCCACTACACCTCAAAGAAGAAGAAGAAGAAGCTTTCACGTGCCTGTCGATGTTGTGCTTATGAGCGCCAGCGCTAAGTACCCGGATGTCGATGGAGGAAGTCAGCCGTTTGACAGATCTGTCTCGTTTTTTGTTTTTTTTCAATAAATCATGGCCGAAGCTTCGCCAGAATGATGGAGGGGTTTGTTTCTAAGCGTGCACGGCTCGTCCGGTTGTAATAATACTGTGAGTGAGGAGCGGAGGACCGATTCTATCATTAGCATCGGTCCTAGGACGAGCTAACCTAGGACGTAGTCATCAGAGTAG